CCAGTAGGGAACCGATGGATTGCGTACCACTGACGAGCCCCAATAGGTCGAAACGCGTTTGGTGCTTTTCCGGACTAAGCTGTGTTATGTAGCTTGTGAACTAATGGGATGAATAGCTAAGTTTACATATAAAAGTCCTGTTGCTCACCAGTAATACAGATTCTAGTGTTACTCAAATAAGTCTGGGTTCTCCATAGTGTGGCGATTTCGGATGAAGCGTAATTCGTAATAATTTTATGGGCTTGGCTTTGACACTTATCAACACGCATAGTGAGTCACATTGGTCTTGGTCGTCCGATAACTTACCCCGCAATATGATGGTGGTCGATTCAGGGATATTTGAGCGTACAACAGTCCGAGCAATAATGTTGGATCCCTTTTTTGTTGATCTACAAGATTTGGTACTCGTTTGTCCTGACCTGCTGACAAGTGTTGATTGTTTGCTGTTTGTCCCTCTATTCGCGTTAACGGTGTTTACAATGGAAGAGGTCGCAACGACGGTTTCTCGGTGGACCTTTGTAGCAATCTCTGCATATGTAACTGATGTTCCGGGGAGCTTTGTCTCGATAAGAGACATTTGAGTTACTGGTACCAAGAGTTGGTGTTTGGCTGCTTCATCCTTGTTAATGCTAGATATCAGGTCTAGTGGAAGTTGCTTAACCAGACGTTTCGAGTGGTGTCTGATTTTCGTTGCCATGAGTGCTGTTTGACTCTCGTAGGTACGGACAGATTTCGCCTGACGTTCTACCAAAGTAGGAGAAGACAACGAAGGTGGGGACGTGGCTGATTGCGGTGCAGGGAAAGCGGATTGTGCAGCATCCCGTTGCTTAGAAGCCGCTACGCTTCGTTGGTGCATTCTCGGTTCCATTAAGTAATCTTATCGTTTATCCTCTGATCGGCTTCTGCGGTTGACCGGTCACACTTCTGGACTAGGATAAGCAATCACTTAACGAGCGGGATGGTCGAGCACGCAGTACAGCACCAAAGCGCATCTTGGGAGCTATTTCGCTCCCGTACCTGTTGTTGGGACACGTTTGTATATTTCGGATGATACCACTCCAAACCGTGCGAGAAAGCAACTATTTTAACCGATCAATGACATTCTCTTAACCCGCAAATGCCTTTTGCTTGGAGGCTTTTCGAATTCGCACTTCTGCCGTTCAAGGTGGTGTCGTCAGGTATACCTGACCCAGTGGGTCGGTTGGCCTTCTGTACTTTTCCACTTTTGAGAGCGGCGCACATTGGTCAGGCGAGCTTGTGGTTGAAAGGTCAGATGATTGGTCGGCGGGTTGCGCGGTTCGTGTTTGCAGGCGCACTGGCTGCCCAGATCACAAGAAATGGCAAGTGACTGGAACCTGCTGACTGAATCTGAACCCAGCGCTGAATACAAATTGAGAGAACACAAATTCTTTCACAGCTTTGTTGAAAAACGCCGGATCGGAATAAGCATAGGCTTTTCGGTCTGCCTCTAGAATTCCGTATCGAATGGTGTCACACAGAAATGCAATCAATTCAATGTGATTGAATTATCCGCTTGCGCTTAATCACGGGTGCCAGTTTAAACGTTAATGATGGCACAGACTCTAATCGTAGAAGATATTTCCACGTATGATGGATTACTGGGTATGGCTGGTGAATCCGGTTCGAATGAGCTTACAGTGACAACACTGCGAGAAGATGGAGAGATGATAGAGAGGAATCATCCAAATGAATCAGGAGCACGCACCTCACGCGTGTGTCTGCATGACCTTGACCTTGATATATAGCGGAGTGGCTACATGGCTGTACGCGCTTACGGGCTTTATTACCGACACTCGAGTGGGAAAAGCAGCAACCTGGGGCACCAGATTTTGTTCGACGAGGCTATGGTCCGGAGTGGCTGCGGTGCTTACGGTTTGAGGTGAGCTCCTCGAGCTGGCACTGAAGCAACGCTATCTGCGATGATAATGCGTCTATTGCCGATGGCTGGCTAGTCGCGAGTGTCGGTGGGGTTGCGCCAACACGAAGTTGCCCAGGTGTTTTGGTTTCAGTTTCTCGCTGCTGCCGTTCGATGATGCGGTCAGCTAAATCTGCAATTGCAGGTCACTTGCTACCGCAAGGATGGCCTGTGTACTTTTAGGAAGGCGTTGCATCCACAGCACGCGGAGAATCCCTACATCCATGTTGCACGTGCCAATGAGCTGTCGCATTTCGCGCAACTGGGCAATAGGCGTCCTATCTCTTAGTTGCAAATCACTACATAGTTTCTGCAGACGGTGCTTGATATGATGCGTGATTCACTGAATAATAGCCTGTTTAAAACTCTCGTATGATGTCTCGCACCTGCAAGGATATACTCTGAGGAAGGCGAGATTTTGCTGAGTATACATGGCGAAACCAAAGTAATCCTACGAATGTAAAACGTTAATTCTAAGTACAATAACCATGACGAAGGATCCTTCTCTCAAAAAGATGGAGGGGCTAACGCAACAGTATTGACCGTGACAGGCTGAACGGCGCTAACCAGGTATAAAGATGGCTTATCCTCTGGACACTCTATCACAACAAGCGAATAAAAAATGTGGTAGGTGAGAAAACAAGATGATCACAAGTAATGATTCACAAGCTTGCTGGAACGAGCTCACTTGCATGATAATTCAAAATGGCGGTGGCCTGCTCTGGACCGGGGTCACCAATTGTTGGGTGGCGCCTGGGATACTAGTCGGTAATCAGTGGCACGTAAGAGAAGTGTCAAATACGGGACAGTATAGAAGTTGGAGGCGACTGAACCCATCATGTATCGTGCAGGCTACAAAAATAGGAAGCGAATCAATCACAGCAAGAAACGGTGCAGCAAGCTGCTCACCAAAACAATTTGTGTTAACGGAAGTGCCGTCAGTGAAACAAGTGGACGTTTTGAAGATTAAAACAACGGTAAAATCCAATGTTGCAACACACTGAAGAGCGTTTTTTCCGGTACACTACAGTGATTAGATGGCAGACGTTTCGCTGCCAGACTAGTCAATGCCATGATTGAGACATCAGGGGCCTGCTTCCCAATGCCTCGTAAGCAACTTCGACTACCCACTTATTGTTCATCGACTGCTGCTTTGAACACAAAACTACAAAGAACTCACGTGCTTACCGGCCTTATGTTCTTCCGACGCGTTTCAAATCTTGTTTTTACGAGTTAGTCTAATTCTTGATTCCTACAAGTACCCTCCTTACGAGTGCCGTGCAGCGAAAGGACCGTGTCTTCCTCGGTCCCTTGGGTCCGTACATATTATCACAATACCGGTTAAAAGATGTTTGCGACGTCACTAGCTGTAACCGCCCCCAGTGCTGTTTCTCACCAGTTTATTAACTCATGAATCATAGAAGTGCTAGTGTTAAGAAGTACACAAGTTATTTTCACAATAGTTTCTAGTGTGTAAAGAAGATAAGTGATGTGGATAATTTTGTTCCGCACTTTGGATCCATGAGTCTACATTACCCGTCACTATATGAGTGCAAAGTGGAGCTAACCCTGGTTCGTTTATCGGTAGTCTTTTGATTTAAGCACCAGACCTATAACTCCTTTCGATCTGCACTGCCCTTAACCATTATCACCGTCACCACCGGTGGTTGCTTACCGTAAATTGTGGTCGTTAGCTCATAGACTAACAAGCAAATTGTCACACTGCTCACTGCGTTGCAGAAATATTGCAGCGCACAAACTCGACGTAGTGTTTCTTCGTTGCATGATTTTTTTGGTCAGTTACTTTTGTATACAAATATCTCTCTCTGGGACAGGTGACTACAAGGAGCATATACATTCTAAAGATAGGTTTGCATGATTAACTTTAGGCTGGACCGTCTACCTAACGGCTTCGTCACTAATGGCGTGCGGAAGATATCACAAACTAGTTACCTGTAGATCCAATGGTGCTGCATTGACTGATAGTGAGCGTAATATATGCACTAGTTACGATGGGAGTATCCTTTGCTACAACTTCTAAGTCGTACCAGAAATGCATTATGAGAGTGTGAAATCTGATTGGCAATTTACGCAAAACAGCCGCAATACACCAGTGATAAACGTGCTTCCCATAGAATAGCATTTGCAGAAGCCTGGTTGTGTTATCCTTTAGACAGCACAACCTAACGCAACAGATTCGCTTGTTTAACTGGCGAGCATGTGCACTGTGGAGCGCTGGACCCAAAACAGACCCTAAGTTACAGCTGAAACCCTGTATCCCGTTTGCCCACTTGGTAAACGAAGACATAAAAAGTTGCGCTATCCTAACATTTCGATTGCTCTCCTCAGTCACATATGCAATACATTTGGAAAATGAATTGACCTATGTACAGGTGGAACGAAAACACACGGCTAAAATAAAGTTAAGCGATCGAAATCAGGGAAACCTGAGAAGCTGCTTCAGTTCATTTTACGTACACAATACCGGCCGGTTTACCGCAAACAGCAATGCTTCGCTGAGTCCCGGTTTATCACTGAGATTTTGAAGGCATCGGATGGAGAGCAATCAAAATGTGAACAAATCACAACTATAGTCTACTGTCCGCGTTGGCCTAAGTTAGAGGCAAACTGGTTTTTGACGGTTTCACACGATTAATCTGATTCCCCCTTGGGGCTTTTGACGGATTCTTGCTCAAGTGTACATGGAGGATAACGGTATTGGATTGGAGGCTCCTACGAATTCACGGTACACTTTAGCACATAACTTGGGCTTATAGTGCAATATGTTATACGTCGTCAACCATTCAGCGCCGGCCAAACTAGCGACGTTCTTCGACAAGATGTCCCCGTTGCCAGACACTGTAACTATTTTTAAAACCTCGAAGTTTCAAGTTGGTCCTGTGTAATACCTGCTTTCTTCCAGTACTGGCCTAACGAGTAAACCGATTAATTATTCGGTATACGACTTGAATTAAATTCCTGGTCAGCCTATCATACTTGCTTCAATAACCAATTTATGCACGGACCATTATATGATATTTACCATCCACTTCTCTTTAACCAGGTGACTCTCATCTTGTCATCGGAAACTTGTTGTAATTGCCTGGGATATCTGGAGACAACCCTACAGTTTTTCTACACGTTTATTGTCCAGTCACCGCCTTCTTATGCTTACCCTTGTAAAGTGCACATCCGGTGTGCTAACTGCGATAATCACGTACATTTCTACACACCATATACCTGCCATTCGATTCTTCGGTAATCTTAACTGTTCCTAAGCGTGACTGTCTCTCGAAATGCAAATCTTTGAATCAACAAGCGTTTTTGTTCCTCACCCTAAGTATATAGTGCAAACGCATCATTTTTCGTTATTTGCGCCTTTGCATTATCACAGCGCCCATACGTGGCTTTCAACTGATTAAAGTATGTCACATAATCTAGTTAATGTTTACTGTGTTATCCATATGTGTAGCCGATTTGCCTTGCTTCCTCCTTCTTCCTGCTGCGACTACTTATCCTTAACACTCCAAGCGATCAGCCAGAATTAATATCTGCATTGATTGCCATCCATTTGATCAATGACATGGCCAGCGCCAGAAGTAGTCGTACCGTTACCTCCTTCAGCTGTCAGTCCGATTCTCTCTATTGCTGCCTGAACATGTGTAATGACATGGGTACTGTTATTCGCACATATTTATGGTATTGGTGTATGTGCACCACCTGGATAATTGCTGCCTTATCGGTGGATACACGTTGATCAACGGAACACACTAGTGCCTCCTTTCCGGTCTGCAGGACTGAAATCAGCAGGAAGACATGTTTTATTCATTTTCATTGCCAAATCATTTTGGTACACTAATGCCGTATTCATTTGAAATTTCAGGTAATTCGTTTCGAACTGACCTATTTAGAAATTGGAACTATATTTTAACTGGTTAGCGTTCGGTTATTTTTTTCCTTATGCTTACACTCCACATTTATTTGACACGGATGTCAGTTATCAATGCATTTATCTCGGTAGACACTCGGTAGCCGACTCACATATATTTCGACTTCAGTGTATTTACCCCAACCATTTTACGGGACGCGTCAAACACTTGTTTTTATTCCGGGTTAAATCATTGTTCATTGTTTGCGAGTACATGAAGCGATGTGTGCGGCCGTAGCTTACAGTGAGAATCGATCTGCAGTTAGGGGTACTCGTATGCGGACGTTTGACAGTGTAGGTGGCGCTCGCACGTTTCACTTATCTCCCGAACCGTTGGGGGACTTGCGGGCATGTGTACTTGGGCTCATGAGACAATTGACTTGACAGCTTCGGACTTATTAGGACAACAGTCACTTGCTCGGTCACCAAGTGGACCGATTCAGATAAGCGTATGTTAGTGACACCTTCCTTGGTGAGCCATAGATTTCACTTTCAAAACTGATGACGTCGAATATCTCTAGATTGTTGTTTGGGTGAAAATGAAGCAACAAAAGAATCATTCTAATTACTTAGCACTGGTATTCCACTGTGCAAGGTTGATAGTGTTGAGGAAACTTTCAACCACTGGATTCGTAGGTACAGGCGTACACTTTCATTACGCGAACTTCCCAGCCTTGGATCCAGACCATGTTCTAGGGATACGTTGTAGTTGTGTGTGTGTTCTTTTTATGTTAGCTACAACAAGGTGCATAATCACTCCCTAGGAAAACTTTACTCGAGCTAGCTGTGGATTGGAAACTGAACCTCGTGTACTTTTAGTTGCTCTATCATGCTCCCGAGATTCGAGCGAGGAACAGCTGCAAGCGGGCACAAGAAGTAGGCAAAACTTCTAAGTTTGTCCTTAGAAGCCAGGTATTTGCACCTGGAAGAAGTTCTCCATAGCATTTAGTCCTCATCTCTTGTGACCTGTCATGCAATCGATCGCGTGGATGATGCAACCGTGACGTGACTGCTGGCAAGCATAAACCTTTCTACGCTAGTAGTCTAACAGCGCCAGCTGCTTTTTAAATAAATACACTAACTTTGCTTCCCACCGATGCGAGACACGCCTGTATCAACTTGATCGAGCAACTGCATACTTGTGTAGAGTGTTGATCACAAATCGACCAGGAAAATTAAAAGTCATACAGGGACGTTTGGATGGACAGCAGTGGCACTCACATGGTTGGCTGACCGAAAGCAATTACTCACATGTTTGGCGGTACTTCCGGCGTTGCCTTTCAATGATACCACCATAGGACAGCCGCAAGACGGCTGCGCCTAAAAATAATTGGTACATTCTCGATAGAACGAGGCATACCGGTGAGGGGATGATCAAATATGCATACATGCGTAGCTGCTTTAAAATAGCAAAACGAGTTGTATTAGAAGGTACAACCGAAATTTTCGTAGTTTTACATCTGAGCATTGTTACGTACCGATCGTGTATTTCTAATCCGTGTAGGGACCCGCAGGGACCCACGTAGGAAAAATACCAACGCCGGATGGTAGGTATGAATCTGTACTCTGTTCCTAACCGGAGCCAAGTGAAAACATATGGGACCAAAACGAATCAATGAGAAACAGAGACCAATCCGTGAATGCACTATAGTCATGTGGTTGGGCAAGTAAAGTTAGGAGGTGCGGCATGACTCACCGGTCGTGGATGTCCGTGACAAGCATTTGTCAACTAATAGTGGGATCCAATAACGTGTTCACGCGAAGGCGCGGAAAAGTTAAAGTTACAACTTTTGTGGCAATGGCCAAAGTTCAGTGTGCTTTCACCATGTGGTATCATGAGCAAATGGGCCAACGTAAAATTTCGGTACAATAATTTCCGATTGAAAGGTAATAATGTTTAGGGTACCATCAAGACATTCTCCATATCAAAATCGGTTGAAATCACCATTTCATAATGTGCTCGCAGAAGTTGTATGCAGCAAACGAATGACTGGGCTTGTTGGAATGGAGTACCATTCCTTTTTGGAACGAACTAATGACACGAGTAAAATACGGAAGGCTAGCATGGAAAAGATGGTTGTAGGCGTAAGAAGAACTGAAGCGTCGAAGAAAAGCACCATTTCGTTTAATAACGAATCGAAAATCCTCCAAACTTAACTTATAACGTCAGCTCGCGTATCATCCATCCGTGGCAAAATGTACAATTATTTATTACTTCCAGTTTGAATCCAAGGAAATGGTATGTGTAAAGGTGGAAGATGATCTTGTAACGGTTTTAATAGCTGAAACCAATTGTTTATGTCAGTGTGCTTTTGTGGGCTGACGTTATTCCGGGGCGACTGACATACGCTACGTTGCGGTGTTGTTAAGCGAACGTTTGTGGCTTTTTATAGGGAGGAGGCTTGCCAGGCAAAAACCCATCACGTCCCGGAACATTGCGATCGGTACTGTAGAACTGACAATGCTTACGGCTGACCGATCGTGCACTCGGTTACCCCCAGTCGGATGAAGCCAAAAATTTTCCTTTGGCTGACAGAATCTCTTAGTCAGTATCCGCCATTAGTCGTTGAAGGCGGTCAATTTTGGAATATTGGGTGTCTGTTTCAGAATTCTGTTTAGTTATAATCCGAAGTGTGTATGAATGTTTTTGACCGACATTATCATTCATCCGACTGTTTGGACCATCAAAATTGTTTTCTCTCTGGCCAAGATTCCAAACGAAAATTCCGTCCTCTTTGCATCAGCAACCCAGCACATTCGCAGAACGGAAAACGGTGGAAGAAACTGGTTTACTATAATTCACCAAGCTGTGACTTTTACTGCAACTTTCACTCCGCGAGCAATACTACTTCGTTTCTGCACAATAATCACAGTACCTTCTACTCTTTTCAACCAACGGTTAACAATTATTTGTTTGGTGCGATTCTATCAGCATGTAATTAACTGATTGATTAGATATTTGTTCTCGACAAAGCGAGGCATACCTTTTGGGCGTGATCAGAAGTAATGCAATGGTGTACATAACAACATAATATGAAGGTCCAAAAGCAGGAGTATTACACATGGAGTAAGTTATGCGGTCCCATATGGCCCAAAGAATGAATGAAGCTTGTTCTTCAGCATATCGAGGCCCGCCTCAACATTTCTAATCAAAATTGCACTGGCGAAATATTTCTCAGTGAACAAGGTATAAAGATAAGAATTACAGCGACTTTGGGAAGGGGTTGGTGTTGTGGAACTGGTCCGATGCTGTTGTGTACAACATTTGGATCAGGTAAGTGGAGCATGTGAACGACTCTGTAAAAACGTTTTAAGAGTAGTAGCATGTCACCGTTTGAACAACTACTTGTAGATGGATGAGAGTGTACATATGCACAGAACATGTTAAATGTGGTGCTGGTCAATTTGACAATGTGTGCTAGAAGGCAGCGACTTTATTTGGGGCAGAGTCACCTCCGCCACGTCGCAGGGTTTTTTAAACAGATTTTGGTGGTTTTTTTGTAGGGAAAACGCTTGCTAGTAGAAAACTCACACATCATGGTACACTGCCGACAATCACGGTTTGCTTGATGATAGGACATTAATGAAATTGCTTCCTGCCCGATTGTTCGCGCGGTTATTCACAGTCCTATTTCGTCAATTTATTTCCTTTGCTTGTGTGGTTGGCTTCGTCAGAGTCCACCGTGATTGCTTGGGGCTTGCGATGTCCAACGAATCGGGTGACTTGTAGTTTGTAAATTTGCTTTCCGAGTTATATTAGAGGATTAGAATTCCTTGGGACTAAAGAGTTAAGTTACCTGTATTGAATCCGTAGCAAGGTCGGCGTCGCAGGTAGGTCCTCATAGGTTTTTCATACACATAATGATAACATTCAGAAGAGGGAAAATGGAAAAAACGACCAAGCTACCTGCCAAGGAAATTGAGCAGGCCTGTGTTAATGTTCGAATAAAAAGCTGTTTACTAAATATGTGGTGGCTACAAGCAATGTATGGAGCGAAACAATGCTGTGTAGCAGATCTGGCATTTTGCATGCAAATCCGAGACCCCATGGTTTTTGGATGCGAAGGACAAATGCTGCCCGAAATGACTTAGCATAAGTAATAGTTGCCCGGTACGGAGGTCGGAAATATCAGGCGCTGTAAGCAGGTGAATGCGTTAATGGAACCGAAGTGCATAGAAAATAAAGAAGATGCGACCAGGAGGCCATTGGAGTGATCAATCACCAGTATTGGTACTGGTCGCCTAATCCATAAAAGGACCAAAGTACTTCCTATGATATGAGTAGTTAATGCACAATGACACGTGGAGCAAATACACCTGGCTACTTTCCCACGAGAAGAATATTGTAACAAGTTCAGTAATTGGGTGTCAGAAAACTAGGTGGACGCCT